CCACCATCTCTCTTAAAATACAAGCTTAAATCCAAATACTTTCTGACAAGTGGTAAACACAGTATCTCGAGACACCACTTCTTAAAATTGGCCTGGACCATTAGGACATTTCCAACAGCGACAAGGGAAAGTCTTGCTTTCCTCAGATGGCAGGTGTGTCTTTTTAAAAGTCAAGGTCTTCCTAATTACCACCGTTCAGTGTTGATTGAGGAGTGCCTCCCCAAGAGAAATGTAGCTTTTGTGCAAAAACAAAGAGAGCCTGTCTAGTTCTCCTTAGCTGCTGTCTTTTAAAGGACATAGCTGGCTTCCTCTGAAGAGGACAGCCCAGCAGTGTGTCGCTCGCCTCGTTCTGCCAGTACTTAAGTGGGGCCCTGTGTGTGGCGTCCCTGCTCCTTACGACGTCAGATGACATTTTAAGGAAAAGGTGGATTTTGAGTTGATTGTGGAAGGACTGAAAAACAGGACAAGACGGCATGACTTTGGCCAATCCGAAGTGGGTAACCCTCTGGGAAAAGGGAAAATTTGACAGAAGAACGAGGAAGGAAAGTGAACAGAGAAACTTTAGATTGACCCAAGCCCAGGCTGAAATAAAGCAGAAGCAGAAAGCTCTTTACCTCTGTGGGGATTTCCCCCAGAAGGGAAATCTTTGAATCAAGAAAAAACCTCAGGATGAGGGAAATATTAACTATAGGGCAGGTGTTTTATTTGACCAGGTTCTAGCCACCCGAGCTACTGACCATGTTTCAGCAGGCAGGTGTTTAAAAATGAAGTCTGTCTGTGATATTTCTTATTTTATTTATTTATTTATATTTTTGGGGTTTGAACTCAGTGCTTCCTGCATGCTCGGCAGGTGCTCTATCACCTGAGCCACTCCACCAGCCCTGTGTTGTGTTGGGTTTTTTGAGATAGGGTCTTGAGACCTGTTTGTATGGACCAGCTTCGAACCGTGAGCCTCCTGATCTCTGCCTCCTGAGTAGTTAGGATTACAGGCATGAGCCACCGGTGCCCAGCCGATATCTTTTAATTTAGGTAAAGAATAAACTCAGAAGGCACTATCTAATATATTTAAGAGAGTAAAGACCTTTAGGATTATGTAACCCATTACATATAAGAAATGAGAAATAATACTTGTTGAATTTAGTAACCGAGTATAATATGCTAATTACAAACTATTTTAACTATTTTTTTGTGGTACTGGGGCTTGAACTCAGGGCCTACACTTTGAGCCACCCTACCAGCCCTTTTTTGTGATGGGTTTTTGAGATAAGGTCTCTTGGACTATTCCTGGACTAGCTTTGAACCATGATCCTCCTGACCTCTGCCTCTCCAGAAGCTAGGATTACAGGTGTTAGCCACGGGCGCCCAGCTATTTTATCTATTTTTTAAAATGGGTTCCTCAGAGATCTCTATTTAAATGGTTTTTGGGGTTTTTGGTTTTATGTAAATTGTTGCATAAACTTGAAAAGAAATTAAATTGTATTTTCACAAAAATATTCTCTAATTTCATAAAGTATATTTTCTCAGATTGACCTCTCCTGCATTAGTCAGTCATGATGCAAGCTATGACTTTTCCTGCTGCCCAGGGGACATTGCACTGCCGGTGACTTCTCACAGAGGAAGCAGACAGATGTGGCCAAGCCAGTACCAATGACCAAGCCAGACACAGCTGAGTGGACCAATGGTTGGTAATGGATCCAAGGGCAGCCAATCCCTGGACTGGTGGAACCTGAGAGGCAGGCTGCTGTGAAGCCTCTTCCAACCAGGGACAGTGATCATCCACTGCACCAATCCCAGTCCCTATCAGGAATCTGACATTTGAAGAGAGAATCAGTTAGCCGGCAGTGAGTAGATAAGTGACAACAGCCAGGCAAGGAAGTAGAGGCGGGGAGGAACATGTCTACCTGACTGTGGGAGGCACTGGGGCAGGGGAGGGGGACAGCAAGCTCTTCCCATCCATCTCCATTGGGTCAGCTGAGTGATTGTCCCTGAGAGAAGGGCCATCCCCGAAACAGGCTGAATGAGACACTTGTAACCTACAACCCCCCCAAATCTAATCAATACATTGTTCAAAATTTGGTAAAATTGGGCTTTAAACTTCGGAAGCAATTTGGTTCAGTTTTACTGTCAGAATTTTTAGGGAAAGCACTTTGGAGTGACAATATTAATTCATCATGTATGGATTCAATTGTTTTTTAATTTGCCAGCAAATTAAACAATTTTCTGCCAGCAAAAGAGAAGTTAACAAAACTATGGTCGAAGTGTGGTCATTATTGAGCTAAAAAGCAGAGGACAGGTGGCTAGTTTTTTCCAGAGTAGACACAAGGTTGTACGGCTTCTTGCCATCTCTGAAATCACATGGCTCGCTGGATGCCACCTAATCCGTGGGTCAGGGTCTTACCTAGAGCTTAAATAGTTCCTCTCAGTTCTTCATTGCTAGTAAGGGCAGAAGGTCACGTGCTTTGGTCATTTACCCAGGTCCTGTGTTTCGTTGATCACACTGCTTAGGCCACAAGTTTTTTAAAAAGAGCAAACTGGGGATGGCGGCAACATCTGTAATCCCGGCACTTGGGAGGCGAGGCAGGAGGGTCACCAGTACACAGCAGTGCAGAAACGTCAGTCCCAACAGTGTGGCCCGCAGAACACACAGCCCAGAGGGAGACCTGCCCAAACCCTGTAAAGCCACTCCGTGTCCCCACCAGGATGGATGCTCTGCTCACTGTGGAACACCAAGGACTTCACTGCCCCGACTTAGGCAAACTCCACAGCCCAGGCACTTAAAAATATAACAACTAAGGAAAAGAGGTTACTTAAAAGGACTTGAGGTGGACTCTTGAGGTCAGACCAGGGCAACTCTGGGAAGAAATGTGTCCGTGTTTTGTGGATTATTCCTGTAATGTTTTGGCTGTCTCTGCCTGTAATGTCTCACTAGCTAATAATAAAGCAAAATCTTGATTGTTTAAAAAAAAAAAAAAGCAAAACCAAATCTGTCACTAACTACTGTCTTTGTGTAAGTCATCCCATTTCTCCAAGGTTCTGTTTTCTTCTCTGCAAAGTACAAGGGCCAAATTAGACTCCTAAAACTCCTCTGGTGGCATGCCTCTGACTTTTTTTTGTAGTACCATGGTTCGAACTCAGGACCTGTGCTTGCTAAGCAGGCACTCTGCCACTTGAGCCACACCTTCAGTCCTTTTTGCTTTAGTTATTTTTTAGATAGGATCTCACACTTTTGCCTGGGGCGATTTTTGGACCACAATCCTCCTACCTCTGCCTCCTGAGTACAGGTGTGCACCACCATGCTTAGCTTGGTTATTGAGAGGGGGTGAGCTTGCTAACTTTTCTTTTTCCAGGCTGGCCTCCAACAAGAATCCTGATCTATGCCTCATGAGTAGTTGGGATTATAGGTGTGAACCACTGTGCCCAGCTCATGCCTCTGACTTTGGTCTTGTACCTGTTATACATAGCAAATGAGTATTGAGGCCAATGACACCATTGGGAAGGATGTAGCATTAGGGATGAAGGCAAGACAATTAGTGCAGAGCACCGGCTCATTAGAAGCAGCAAGACAGGCAGACTCGGCTTTTCATGTTTACCACTGGGCATCCTTTGTGATCATCAGTTGAAGTAGCTCTTCCTTTGGTGCTACCAGTTCACCAAAGCAGGTCACTCTGTGCTTGCTATAGCTTCTGTGGTTGTGACGTCACAGGAGGACGCCTGCCAGCCTGCAGTCTGTGGAAACTTCCCTGGCATTTGCCCTGCCCAGGTGTGGCAATCTTGAGGATTCTGCTATAACTTTGACATAAAATTTTCGATCAATCATATTTTGCTTTGCTTTGCTTTCTCTTCTTTGGTAGTGCTGGAGATCATCCCAAGGCCTTCTGCGTGCTAGGCCAGTGCTTTCCTACTGAGCTCCACCCCCAGCCCTTGTGTTTCTTTATGAAAAATGACAACACGCCTCATACCCATTAGGATGGCCACCTTAAAACCCAAAACGCCCAGGAAACAAGTGTTGCTGAAGATGTGGAAGGCTGGGATTCTTTGTTCACTGCTGGTGGGAATGTGACATGGTGTAGCCGCAGATGCAAACAGGATGGTACAGAAGTATTGTATGATCCAGAAAGTATCATGACACCACTTTTGGGTAAATGTCCATATGGTTAAGGTGCTAAATCTTTGTTATGTGTTTTTTAGAATTTAAAAAATACTAACTAAAAGAGTAATTCCGTAGTAAGTTGCTACTAACCTCTATACTTTGTCACTTTAAAGTGACCCTAATTTCTTCAGACCAGGGTATTTCAGTGCTATTAATAAGAGTCACCAATTCAGTCTGCTGCCAGTGGCTCATGCCTGTAGTCCTAACTATTTGGAGGCTGAAATTGGGGGTATTGCTTTTTGAGACCAGCCCTGGCAAAAAGTTCACAACACCCCATCTCAACCAGTAGCTAGGCACACAGCTGTCATCTCAAGTTACACAGGAGGCTGAGATCTTGAAGATCACAGTTCCAAACCAGCTCAGGTAAAAGAGTTTGTGAGACCCCCATCTCAATTGAAAAGTTAGGTATGGTGGCACAAGCCTGTCATCCCAGTGAAGGTGGGAAGTTTAAAATAAGATTACAGTCTAAGCTGGCCTGGGTAAAACGTGAGAGAACCCCCCCATCTCCAAAATAACCAGTGAAAAAAGGCTGGATGTGTGACTTAAGTTGTAGAGTGCATACCTAGCAACTGCAAAGCACTGAGTTCAAACTCTGTACCGCAAAAAAAAAAGGTCACCAATTCTTTTCCACATCGTTAAGGGAATTTGCCAGTTACATGAATGAAGAAAGCGACACACAGTCAAGGTAGGGTGCCATCAAAATTGTAATTATGCTTGACAAGGTAGTCTTCTGATGACAGGTCTACATGGGTGGAAAGGATCAGGAAACAGAGAAGGGAGGACGGGTGGTTCCAGGGCTCCGTTGACCTAGGTGATCTTTAGGTTTTCACTGCTCATGCTTCCTGTAGACTCACAATCCTGCATCTTGCTGGGGACTTAGGGCAGCCCGTGGGATGAGATACTCTTGTGTGGGATCAACATTCTGGAAAGGAAGAAACACCATTGTTAATGACCTGAGCCTACATAGGGGCAACCATTTCCTGACCTATGTTTGAAATGTTACCATCTTGCCATCATTTAATTCTTCTTTAATAAAAAAAGAAAATATATACTAAGCTTACTAGTGTTAGGCTACCCTTTTCATCATTAAGAATTTTTTGCAAGTTTTTTTTTTTGGGGGTTAGTGGTGTTTGAACTCAAGGCTTTACACTTGCTAGGCAGGTGCTCTACCACTTGAGCCACTCCCAGCCCTTGTTTTGCTTTGGTTGTTTCTTGAAAAGGGTCTTGCATTTTTTGCTCAGGCTGGTGTTGTGCCATGATCCTCCCAATCTCTGCTTTCTGAGGAGCAGGGATTATAGCAATGAGCCACGGTGCCTGGTCACATGCAAGATTCTTGAATAGCTGATTATTGGAAATTGAAACGCAGTCAAGAAACTCTTAGTGGGATAGGTAATAGAGACTTGCTCACTATGTAAATGCCCTCCTGAGGGTTAATTACAGCAAGTGATATATAGCTACATCCTGGCCCAAGTGGTGCTCTAAGAAAAGACAAAGTCTCAGATAACAGACCAGAGGGACCCGCCTAGCCAGTTGCCTGGCAAAGTTCATGGAGCAAGCCGTCTGAGCATGACTTTCACTCTTGGGTTTCGGTTGTTTGGAGCTCTACCATGCAGGAAGTGTGTACCCACGTGGTATTTTTGGCTCTTCACCAAAAGTCATCAGAGCACAAATGTGAGTTATGTCCAATGTGCTCAGCAATGTGCTCCCCTCTGTTTCCTCCTAAAGGATTGAAATTGGCTTTTCCATCTGGACACCCAGAGAATCATGACAGTCCTGGCCTCATTCCTCAGGGCAGCCTGGGTTGCTGGAGCTACATAGTGATTCAGAGAGACAGTCAGGGGCACAGGGGACTGGTACTAAAAACAGATGCACCACTCATCCATATCCATATCCATATCCATATCCCTATCTCTCCAATCCTCCATCGACCCTAGCACAAACTCAGTCGGCCTGCTCCTCTTCCCCTCACACAAACCCTTTCTTCTTTCCAGGCCACACACCTGTGACCAGGTATACTGTTTGCTGATGGAGTTGGTGGAGACTTATAGGCTTTGGGCCAAAGTGGAAGGATTGCCTTGCCTCTCTCATTCTACCCTGGCATGGCTTGAATCTGGATGGCTCAACCATGTGAGTTTGGGGATGATCCTGCACTGCCTGACTTGTCTCAAGCTCAGTAAGGCCTCTGGAGTGGTGTGTGGAGGCTGTGCCCTTGCTGTGGCCCTCGGAGGTGAAGGAGACAAGCGAGTTACCTGCAGCTGAATGGGAGTACCATATGCAGTTAACGCTATATCCTCCTCAGTTCCATCACTGTCTCGGGCTGAAAGCCAAAGGAGGGAGGGCTGGGTTAGTGTCAGAGATTCGTGTGGGAAGAACACAGGAGGTCTAGGAGAAGCCCTGCTGACCTCAGAGAGGCTCCTGACCCTTTCAGAGGAAGTACTCAGTTGAAGCTGTTATTGAAAAAGATTGGTGATGACTTAGAAGAATGGTTGGACCATTTATGAGGAGGCAGGACAGGGACAGTGTAGATGTGCTCAGGAGATGCACACAGGCGGGCAGTGACCACAGGGACTGAGGGCTCAGCTCAATGTCTAGAGCAGAAGCAGAGCCCTGGTCAGGTGCTGCAGGCTCTCTTGGTGTCATCTGTGTGACCTCAGCACCACACTCTTTTTAGGAGTCCCTTAAGGTTTGATTCTCCACAAGCTTGGATGCAATTTTTAAAACCAAGCATAAAAATTATCCCTGGAGACAATTCTATACTGTCATAGGATAACCACACCCAGTTATCTGTTAACTTCAGTCTCCTCAAGCAAGCTGCAAGCTCTGTGCAGGTGGCACTTGCTCCATACATCTTTGTGTGTTGATGGTCACACGCATAACTGTGTCACTCCAAAGTGTTCACACTTGAAGGCTGTAGTGAGGAATGGATGGACTGTGGAGAAGGACACTTGGGTTTCTCATCTGTGTTACCTGGAATCAGTTCCTTACCCTTTGGTTGCTTTTACTTCCTGGTGGAAATACAACTCACAATGATCATAGTACTAACTTGATTTCACAGGGTTACTTTGAGGATTCTACCAGTTACAGTATGGTCAGAGTCCCCGGATTGAGGTACGGTACAGAGAAAACACCATATTAGCTGTCCTTTGCTTATCATTGATGGGAGTGGTGCTGGGGGAGGGCAAGGGAACCCAGTGATGGTTTTTGAGGGATGCATGCTGTGATGTATGGGGTGCTCGGCTTCCGCTCAAGGCAGAGCAGAACAAATCCTTGGTTTAACTTCTGTGACATAACAAGTCTCCTTCACACTCAGTTGCTTGGTAATTAATTTCATCCAATGTTCCCAAAAGACCAGATCATAAATTAAAAAATCTGAATTCTCCTGGTTCTAGTTACTGTTCATGAATTTGAACAATGCTCCTGAATGTTTAGAATAAACCCACATCCACCTCATGGTAGGAAATCTGAGTTGAGTGAGACCCGACATTTACATGTGGGGGAGGCAATGATTGAGGCTCCTAGAGGCTGAGGACTGTGGCCTGGTTAAGTTGGTGAGAGGCAGAGCCTCAAAGTCAGGGCGAGGCTCAAGTCTGCGCTCTGCTGCCCAGTTACACTCATGCTCTCTGACCTTGTAACCATCCTGACCTTGTAACCATCCTGATCATCTGACCAAACAAATACTGCCCGTAGTTCACCTTCTTTTTCCCTGCTTTATGCTAGTCTCTCTCTCTCCTAACTCTTAAAATTTACTTTTAACTGATACGTGACTTGCACACACATAGGATGGTGGCATGCATATTTACAGTGTATAATATTCAAACCCAGGGAAACATGCCCATGTTCTCAAACTTTATTTCTTTATGGTGAAAGTATTCTTAATCCTTTTTTTTTAGCTTTAAAAAATAAACGATACACAGTACATCCCACTGAGCTGGGACCTTCTTTTCCCATCTAACTGTAACTTAGTGTCCATTCATCAACCTTTCCCCATCCCCCACCTCTACAACTTCCCCACCCCCTGCAAACCACCACTCTACACTAGACTTCTAGGAATCCAACTTTTAAAAAGATTCCGGTAACTCCTGAGAATGACAAAAAGAGCTTTCTGTGAAAGAACAAACAAAAATGATCCCCCAGGACCATTTCAGTTGGGTTCCTTTGGTAAGGTAGGAATGAGGACTAGTATTTACAGGAATGGTTTTCTCTTGGTTCACCTCACTTTGGCCTCATGCATCCACCTTTGTGTTATGTGGACTCATTGATTATCTTTGTCCCAATGCCTTTGAAAAGAATCCTACTGGACTTATCTGTATCCATTCAAACACAGCATGGAAAAATGTCCACAGTTATGTATTTTTTTTTGGTGGGCCTGGGGTTTGAACTCAGGGCTTCATGCTTGCAAAGCAGGTACTTTATTGCTTGAGCCACATCCCCACTCCATTTTGGAGATGGGGGTCTCATAAATGTTTCCCCAGGCTGGCCTGGACCCTTGATCCCTTGATTTCAGCCTCCAAGTAGCTAGGATTACAGGTGTGAGCCACCAGGACCCGGCTGCAGTTGTGTAATTCTTTTGAATATAGATGGGTCTTGCTTATAGCAAGCTTGACATTATCAATAGTCAAGTTAATCTAAAACAGATAAAGCAGGTAATAATTAGAGGTACATCTGTACTCTCACAAGAAAAGATTCGTTGCTGGTATTCTCTATTCTCTATTTCAGGTCTCTGTAAATTCTCAGTGAAAAGAACAAGTGATTAAGTTGGGTAATCTATCCATTTATTTTTGGAGGCTAGCTATGCTTTCTTTGTTCAGGAACAGAAATATTCTGAAATATTTGTTTTCCAAAACAAGTAACATATCCATCAACTCATCTAATGAATGAGGTGTTAAAACTTGCACAGTCCTTATTGCATGCAAATGAACCAATTAAACATCAACGGAATTTCAGAATGGCTTCTTCATTTTTATTTTGCATTTTAATGACTTCATTTGTACTTGCACAAGTCCTTTACCCTGCTTTTGGGAGGATCTTTATATTTAAATTTTCCTGTGCCTGAGTTTATAAAATATCAATCAAATGCTGTGAGAATATATATTCACATTTTTGGCCCAAATTCTGGTGAACAATGATTTGAGAAGTTCAACCCATGCTCATTTATTAGGTGTCCTGTAGTGACAGTCCTGATTGAATATATATTCTCTATCCAGATTTTTTATATCTCAGAATTAAGTCCATAAGCTACTTCAGAGAGATGAAGTCTAATCTTTGGACAGACCTCCAGAAAATGGAGTCCTTAATCCCCTCTGCTGGTCTGTTTCATATTTAACCTAAATCCCCCATCCTGTGGTTCAAGTTCATTTCCGTCCATTGCTTTGAGTGCGAGATGGAAAAGAGCACTCAATGGCCCCTGGAGAGAGGTCTTCATGCGTGTGAAATTCTCTGCTGATCACTCCTTGACTTACTTTTCTTGCAGCTGGATAATTCTGGTCTTATATCAAATAATTATGTGACCAGAGCCACAGCTGCAAACAGCGTTAGTCAAGAGTTGTGTGACAATGCCTGCCTTGTGGACTTGAACAGATGCTGTGTTTCAGTACAGAATTCAGAGAGAAAGTCGGGGGAGGGAGAGAGGGGAAGAGACAGAAGTTTGGGGGGGGGAGTGGAGAGAGAGAAAGGAGGAGGAGGAGGAGGAGGAGGAGAAGAGATCTTGGACAGTCTACAAGAAAGGCCCATAAAGCTTAAGAAACTACCATGGCAATTTTACTGTCTACCTTTCCTGTGGGTCTGATGCGGTAACACTTTAATCTTTGTGGTTTTCCTCAGAACCTTCCAAGGTGTTCCACACTTCTCATTAGAGGATCCCAGACCTGGACCAGGCTTTTTGCTGGATACCTATGGATGCTGAGTACAGGCACTGCTGTGCTCCAGCTACACATCTGTTTAACAGTGCTGTGACCATCAAGGTCAAAAGCAGAGAAAAGCTGCTTGTCTCCTCTCCACCAGTGACCCACAATCACACTTACGGTTTTTCAAGGTGTGGTTATTCGATCCTTACCTATTTTGTATCTATTGCTATGTTTTTCCTAGCAAGATGTAATCCTGCACTATTTATTGAGTTTAATTCTTCTTCTTTTCTTTCTTTCTTTCTTTCTTTTTTTTTTTTTGTGGTACTGGGGTTTGATCTCAGGGCCTCATGCTTGCTAGGCAGACACCTTGTTTTGTGTTGTGATAGGCTCTCGCCAACTATTTGACCCTGCTGACTTTGAACCTTGATTCTCCTGATCTCTGCCTCCTAAGTAGTTGGGATTACAGGCATGAGCCACCTGAACCTGGCTTAATTATTCTTCTAATTCTTTTTTTTTTGTAATTTTTTCAAGTGACCTAAATTCTGAGTCTATTTTCTGACCTGAAGTCTCTCCAATTTTCAAGAGCAATTTATAGTTTTTTTTAAATTTCATTATTGATTATTTTTACCCCACAAAAATATCAAACTACTTTGGCAATGACTCTCACTGGCAGACTGTTTCCTGCCCTCAAATGGATTTTCTAATATTGCTTGGGTAATAAGATAGTTCTAGCCAAATTGGGAAGTATATACCTTTTTTTTTGTGGTCCTGGGATTTGAACTCAGTGCCTTGCACCTGCAAGGCATGTGGTCTATCACGTGAGCCACACCCCCAGGCCTTTTTGAATTTCATTACTTTTCAAATAGGGTATTGTGTTTATGCCTGGGCTGGCTTGGGCCTTGATTCTCCTACTTATGCTTCCCACAAAACTGGGATGACAGGCTTGTGCCACCACACCCAGCTTTTATTGGTTAAGATGGAGTCCCTAGAGCTTTTTGCTCAGGCTGCCTCCTCAACTGTGACCGTCCTGACCTCTACCTCCCAAGTAGGTGGGATTACATGTGTGCACCACTGTGCCCGACTGTGGAAGTGTATGCCTTTGCAAGCCTCACTCCTTGTAACACTTTAAACACATGCCTAATATTTGGGAGATACAGAATATTGATCATTATGAGTGTTTTGGGTTACTGTGAAATGCTAAGAACATTCTCTCTGACTTTTTTGTTTTCTTGAAAAAGAGCAAAAGGAAGCACAACAACTTTTATCCTACCTCTGATAAGAAAATAATTCTAAGAATGGTGGACTCTGCAGTTTTGCCACAATCCTCAGCATCATCAAGAAGCAATGAAAGAATTTTACAGGAAGGATGTCAATTCCTGACTCCTGGCCAAGTGAACTGAAAAGAATTAAGGGGATCATTTATCCGAACGGGATTTAATTTGAATGTGTAATTAGCTATAGATTACAGCTCAAAAAAGTGTATTCACTTAAAAAGAAAGCTTAATTCTTTTGAGCCTGTATCATGTGTGCTATATAATATATAGTCCATAAAATAATATCATACATCGGATGGGAGAAATCAGTTGCCTATTAAGACACAAAAATTGATGCAAAACTATGCTCCTAGCTTATGAATAATAGGCCAGATGTTTCAGAAAAGGAGTTAATGAGTTTGATGCATTTCCTGATAACTGAAATTAGCTACTGTGTACCCCAGGTTGCTGGGGATCAAACATCTTTGTTGTCATGAATCATATATTTTATTCCTTAACAAAAGTGAGTCAGATGGCTTGGTCTTGCATATGAATAAAAGTCAGACCCAGAAATTATTATGCAAATATTTCATAAGCAAGTGACTTTTCATCTGAGCCTTTATTCAGAATTTGGATTAAATATTCTTTCCTGTTGCTTTTTGTAAACCTTGACAGAAGTAACACAGAGAATGGTCTGGAAAATAGAACTCCAGAGGCTATGGGACTTTCTGATTTTTATGAGGGCTGAGTCCCACAACCAGTTTAAGATAATGTTTGGGCAAATGAGCTCTGAGACTCAAATTTTTAAAATGTCAATCATTGTTGCCAGGATTGCCATTTGTGCTGGACAGCCAGCACATCTGGACTTAATTAACCCTGATGTCATGCAACTGTATAGCCCAAGCCTAATTTGGGGCTGGTTAACTCACTTTTTGCTGGAGCACTCAGAGCCATATTTTATTTCTTTAGAGCCTTTGACTCGTTTCTGCCTTGTCCTTTCCCCGTAAAGCTTTCTGTTTGGGATAACCCTGATTTTTCATCTCCGTGCAGAATTATGAAGTCAGCCACCCCAAATCTGATTGTTCCCTTTAGAGTCCCTCTGGGTTCATCCTGTCACCTGATTTCTCTCCCGGCCCCTGGGTCCCCTGGGAGGTACCTCTGGAGAGCTCCTGGTTCTCCACCCGGAAGCTGCGTTGGTAGGCTGGGAGTGGACAGGCGTTGGCTGGTGAAGGGCACTCCTGTCTACACGATCTGTACAGAATGCAGAACTCCGGTATGATGTACAGCAGCAGGAAAACCCATGCATTGGTGATCAGGCCGATGCAGATGACGGGGTCGTCCCACTGGGGCTGTCGCTGGAGCTCCGGGTTGCCTTTCATGAGCATGGAGATCCACACCACCCAGATCACGATGGAGACAAGCACAGTGACAAAGATAAGCCGTCCATGCTGCTTCCAGTTCTCACATGGGCCACAGAATGTGGCTTTAGAGACAAAGAATGTGAGGGCCATCAGGAAGAGGACATAGACCAGGAGGACGACAAAGTCCATATTGAGCTGACAGGGCGTCATGTGCACAAACATCATTCCTCTGGTCATGATGAGTGTCACGTACTCAATAGCAATGATCTTCTGCAACAGACTGAGACCAATAGCAATCCCCAGAAGCGTTGTCCAACAGAAGGACACTCTACCCCGGACCAGCTTCACCAGGTTAGAGGCGTGAGCCAAGAGGCATGAAAAACAGATAGCAAAAAGGACCCCAAAGAGAAAGTAGCGTGCAGGGGCGGTTTGTTGATTGAGCTGGATGATGAAGGCAAAAGCAAGTCCAAAGAGCCCCAGCACACCCAGAAGGAAGAGGAACTGGGTGGGGAGGACATTCCACTGGCTGCAGTCTTGTACCCTTCTCATGAGGAAGAGAGAGGCCAAGAGAAGTATAATTGTGACCACTATGCCAATAGATGCCAAGGACTCTAGCACAATGGCCCATGGCCCCTCGGTGTCACAGAAGAGGTAATAGTCTTCAGTGGACTTCACGCAGTCCTCATACATGGTGACTTATTGGTGGATCTCACGGAAATGGTCTTCCGGTCCCCTGTAGGAAAAAGATGTGACAAACTGAAGACTTTACATCTATCCCCAAGAACACCTGTTGGGAGTCCTATGCAGGGGACTACAGTTTCTTTCATTCCAAATGAAGTCACCTAAATGTAGAAAGGAATTGTCGCTTAGATACTAGAGAGAATCCAGGGTATGTTTTGTTTGATTCCTGATACTTAAATGTCAAACTTCCCTAGCAGAGTGAAAATCAGATATGTATGGATCTACAAGAATGGGGAATGCTATCACATACATCGCCCCCAAATTATAACTGTTGCACATAGGCTGTCAGGAAAGAGAATAAGAAAGTGAACCTAAAACCCTCAGAAGTATCTTAGCTTTATCCTTCTCCTGGGAAGAGCAGAACACCCTCACTTGGGGGCTGCAGATAGTTTATCTATTTTTGTATCATAATTTCCAAGGCTTTTTGAAGGCAAATACAGTTTGTTTGTCACAAGATATTCAGGATAAGGGGCAATGTTTGCATGATTGCTGGGATTCTTGAAATATCAAGTCCCAGAGCAAGGGCTGGCAGCATTAATGGATCCTTGATTGGATTATTCCAACTACTTATGGCTGTTTCTTCTTTCAGTTCAGTTCAAGTCAACCCAATGCAATAGATTGTTATAAAAACCTGCCACTATTCATCGAAAAGTTACAGAAAATTGTCCCATTGTCCAAACAACTTTTTGGACAGTGTAGCACTGAAGTCTATGTCTTGACTGAAGTAGCCCAGGTATTCATTTGGAGAAGATTAAAAAGTCCAAAAACCAAACAAACAAAATCAAAATCAGCTTGCAATTGAATGCCCCTCGCCCTCTTGGTTTTCAAGTTATTCCCAACCCAGATGGTGGAGTGATCCCAGTTCACAGCTGACAACTGGCCCCCAAGCTGACTTACCTGCTCTGTGTCCTCCCTGGAAGCTGAGGCTACAGCGGCGTGAGGGTGAACTGCAAATGAGTAAGAAGGAGAGGACCTCAGCTTCTTTAATCTCTCCCCAAATGGGCGGAAAGACCTCAGGCCCTCACTCAGGTTCCTGCAGTGTCTATAAAAAGAACCGGAAGGACACAAAGACACACCTATTCCAGTTCCACAGCAACTTTTCTGTACAGATTGCTGTGGTGTGAACAATTCGTTTTCATTCTCCTGCCGACCAGAGCCACCCCGGCTCCAGAGGTCCAGAAGGGGTGTGAATTTGCAGAAACTTCCTTTCATATATCTAGTGTATTTAGGAGGTTACAAGAGGCCCTCAACTGATCCCAGGGGAGGAGGCGTCATTGTTCTTCTGACCGACCCCCTAAAAAAGTCATTTCCAGAGACTTCTCCACATTTTAATTTTGATTCTAACATTCAAAACAACGTCCATCCAATGCAGTAACGTGAGCTTCACCGAGCCATAAGGAAAGGCAATTTTCGCCTATCACTGGCCTTCAAACGGCAGAACTGTGAACTAGAGAAAATTCTGCCAGTCTCTTTCCCTTTCTTTTGAAAACCATTCCTCAGGGCCTGGCTGTCCACCACAGGCAGACCCTTCTCTGGGCCTTTTTGGGCCTTTCCCTGGCATTGTCCTGGCTTTGGCTACATTTCCCCTTCATCTTGGTCCTCCTCACTGCCACCGGAATGGACTTGTTCAGGGTCTCATCCCACTGGGGCATTTCTAGGTCCTCAAGGAAGGAATTCACAGTTAATTGTGTGAAATACTATATATTTATTTTCTCCCGTGGTTTATATGCAATTTAAGTACATAGTATGTTGTCTAGCCTGTACCAAATTTTACACACATCCCCATCTACTTCAAGAGGGCTCCTCCTCCTCCTCTTCCTCCTCCTCCTTTCTTCTTTCTCCTTCGTCTTCCTCCTCTTCCCCTAACCCTCCCACTCCTCCTCCTCCTTCCTCTTCTTCTTCTTCTTTCTCCCTTATCCCTGCCTCCTCCCCTTTCTTTTCTTTTTTCTCCTTTCTCCTTTTTCTTTTAAAGACAGGGGCTCACTATGTAGGTCAGGCTGGTCTTGAACTTGAGATCCTCCTGCCTTCTTTTCCCAAGAGGTGGGATTACAGATGTGTACTGCCATGATGGTAAAAAAGTGCTTGTGAAGTCCCCCTGATCAGTGCTTGGTTAGCTTGGTTTCGATCTGCCCTTGGTGTGGCTCTAGCTCTCCCGCCCAGCCATGTCTCTCAGGTCTCCATGTCAGATAGCCACATTGGCTTTCCTGCAGCTGCACAGAGAAATAAACTCCTACCAGCTCATTTCTTCTTAGATGCTGTTCCTGTTTTGAACTGCCTTTTGCTTTGTTTCCATCCATCCTGTTTCTGATACACCTTCTCTACCTCTGAGATCCAGTCCATCTTTTTTTTTTTTTTTTTGGTGATAACTGGGGATTGAACTCAGGGCCTCATGCTTGCAAGGTGAGCACTCTACCACTTGAGCATCTCTGCCAGCCCCTAGTCCATCTTATCTCCTGCACTTTTCCTGCCTTCCTGGATCGCTCTGGACCTCAGTGATCGGTTTCCACAAGACAGGGCTCATGCTGTTCAAAATGATAGAAATCCTATTTTCTGCCTATTTTATTTTATTAGTTTAACTTATCCATACATATATTAGGTAATAAATAACAAATAGAGACAAGTGAATGATAATAAGTGAGTGATGCAGCAACTTATTTTAGCAGACCGACGCTCATTTCCTTGATTAGATTTATAGATTGGGGCTCAGGTTCCACATTTGTTGCTCTGTGGCACCAGGCCCCACGTGGAGCACTTCCTAGGGGAATGGTTTGATTAATTGAATGGTTCTAATGATAAAAGTACTTTCCAGAAGGTGCTTTTTCCACAGTGAGGTTTCCAACACATACTTTTTAATGGAAACCACCGGCAAAGAGGTCAGAAATGTATTCTGAAGTGGTGTTCTATCTTTAGAGCCTCCTTAACTTAAAAGAACCATTTTCTCCTTTGAGAAAAGAAAATTCTAGGAATCTGAGTGCTCACCTTTATTTGCCTTGGACATAACTGCTGTCTGTCTGAAGCTGTAAGCTCTCACCAAGGACAGAGATTTTTCCAGAAGCTGAGATGTGAGCACTCAGGATTTTCCTGACTTCTAGACCAAATCGAGGATTTTCTACTGACTTCTTCCAAAAGACCTGCACTGGCGATCCGGCCCCACCCTTCCTGTTGGGTAGTCAAGGTCCTCTCTCCTTGTTGTAGGGATTCCTCCTGACCTCAAGGGTGGCTTGAGGCAGATGAATTAATGGGTTAATGACCACAAAGCCCTTTGAGCACCTCAGATAAAAGGACTTGACTTAGGTACTAATTATTACTATTTTAAAGTCTGGGTTGATAGAATTAACCTACCGGCTGCCAGGCCTGACTGAGAGGAGGGCCCATCTTGTCCTGTACAACCCAAGTTACTCACCCCTCATTTTGTTTGGCTTCTATGCAAGCAACATCATCAGAACAAATAGCTCAGATACGGCTTTGATGAATCAAAATACATTGATGACAGCCAATCTATTAGCAATGGAGATAAAATAGGTAAGAGGCCAAATGCCTCTGCTAAGCACCTGTTTGCGTCATTTCTCTGCCATAGAAACAGAGCCGGAGTTCTGTGACTAACCCTTTCACTAATGGTAGGAAGTCAACATCGAAACACAAGACATCTACTAGCAAAGTGGCAGAGAGAAGAAGGCAGGAACCCAAGGCATGAGGCGTTAGAAAGGCAGCCAGTGTTGTCTGACTCTTTGGTCATGTTCTTCCTGCTGTCTACGATGCATTTTCTCCATGTCCCACCTCACAAGGACAGTCCTTAGGTAGGACTCATAGCTCATGACCAGAAAGAGAGGAAAAAAAGACTGAAGTAAGAGTGTATTCTATACTTCTCATTCCACAGCTGCATGTCTGACTGTGTGACAACAGACTGTGACAGGAGACACACACGATAAAAAAGGACCATTTGTTCTTTTGCTCACTGACATCTTCAGGGCTGGTATACAGGCCCCCACTTAGTAAGATCACCTGCTTGGGGTTTGATGACCTGTGGTCAGCATCTTGAAATCCTTTTACTTTTGAATTGGTGTTCGGTAAATGAGGTAAGATGGGCCCAGAGTGCATGGGTGGGTCTTAAACCTTCATTCCAACACAGTCCTGCCTCCACAGCCTCCTTGCTTCCCAGAGCCAAACTCTTGGCCACCTAGACTATGACACCACCCGGTGCCTGGGGTCACAGAGCCACCCCAATTCTGCTGCTGCCTGTGACTGCTGCTGCCGCTCACCTGGGCTCACCTGTCTGCCATGGGTTAGGCCTGTGACCCTGGAGAGGGCACTGATTTACCCATTTCCAGGCAGGACCCCATGTTTTTATTTTGCACTGGACCTCAGAAGTTACATAGCTGGCCCTGGATCTCTGATTTTCTGGCGTATGAAGGCTAACTGATCAGGTTTACACCGGGATGTATGCATCATGCAGTGTGATGGTCACCAGGGACAATGTGCAGTTGGTTGTGAGGCACCAGAGCAATTGATCTGGACCAGGAAATTGTTGGGACGCTCATCTGAGTGCTATTTGTCAGTGTCAGGGTATTTTTTGGAAAGGAAGCTATTCTACGTTTCCTCCTGAGTTTGTGGCTGTTACAACATTGATTGCACGGGCATCCATTTCCTTTTTCTGAGTTGTGTTATTATTGGAATAAAGCAGATGACATGAGACTTAGGGAGGAAAGTTCAAGCTCAGCCACTGCCTCTGAAGTGTAAGTCTGATGCCACTGAGGAAAATGTTCTCTCTCTCTTTCTCTCTGTTTAAACTCAACCCTTGAGCTTGCTAGGCAGGCACTCTACCACTCGAGCCATTTCCCCAGTCTTTTCAAATGGGATGTTTTTGCTTGGGGCTGGATTTGGAAGGTGATCCTCCTACTTATACCTTCCACAAAGCTGAGATTATAGACACAAACCACCATGCTCAGCTTTACTGGTTAGATGGGAAGTCTTGTTAACTTTTTTCCTGGGCTG